CTGCAGGCTTCGGGCCGGGCTGCCGCCACCGCTCTGGGAGAGCCCAGCTGCAGCGGCGCCGCGAGCTGGGGCTTTGGTCCTGCGGACCTGAGAAATCTCAGCGAAGGCTGGGACTTCGCAGGGGCTCGAGGCTTCCGTGGCCAAACTCAGGCTTGTGGAAAGTTGGAGAGCGCCAAAGTTTCCCCGATGCATCACTCCGCCTTTTTTTTTCTCAAAGCCTGGAGGGGCCTCCGCGCCCCAGTCTTCACGCGGGTTGGTCCCCATCTAAAGGGCTTCGTATCCGCCCCCTCTCTCTCCTCCGAGGCCTCACTTTTCACGACACACACACACCCAACCGAGGCGGCTCTGCACCCCAAGTGGTGCAAGAGTCCGAGACTCCTTACTTCCAGGGAAGGAGGCGAGGGGGCCTGTCGGGGCGAGCGAGCAGGAGGCCTGCGGAGGCCCGCGGGCTGGATTTTTACAGTGAGGCTCGGAAAGCCTCCAGAGAAGGACCCTCGCACACGGAAACATGGGCCACAGAAAGCGAGCTTGCTTCCCTTCCCGAGAGTCGAACAGCCAGGCCAGAGTAGGCCCGAGGCCGGAAACACCAGTCCTCCTCCAGCGTGGGCTCTGGCCGCGGCTAAGCTCCCTTGTCTCTTCCCTCAGCCTAGATCTAAACACTTCTCCTTTTCTCTTTTTGTTCACGTTCATTTTGCTCTAATTTTTAAAACGGCAACACCCAAACCAAAACAATCGGACAAAGTGAAAACACAACCCACATTTGGGTGGGTGGGAGGGGGAATGGCATCCCACTTAAGTGGGACTTCACCATCAGTTCTCAGAAGTGTCTCGGGCTGCCAACTTTCAGATTCAGGACAGCGAGGGCGCGAGAGGGGAGAAGGGGGCGCGCTGCGGGTCGAGGAGAGCACGAATCACCAAATGCGCTACAGGTGAAAAGAGCGAGGGCGGCAGAGCTCTGGGACATGGGTACTGCAGCAGCGGCCACCCCCAGCCTTGGACCCTGGAAATGGCAGCCCCGGGCCACCGGAAGGCGGGAACTGAAATGCCCGGGGGAGACCCCAGCCTTGCGGCCGCGCGCGCCCAGCGTGGGCTCAAACCCGCACGTCCCGGGTCGCGAAGGCTCGGCGCGAGCAAAGGCCCTCGCGTCCACTTAACCCTGCCCTGGGGCGTGCAGAGGGACGGCTGGAGATCAGCCTCGGCTCGGCTTGCGAGAGACTAGCCGCCGGCTATAAGCAAGTGAGAAGGAGAGAAGAGCTCGAAGGGAACAGGCCGCACACCCCTGCCTCGGCCGAGCCCCCGCTCGAAAAGTCCTTGGGATTAGGGATTCGGTCCTCTCTTTGCTAGAGCGGTTCGCCATACTTTAAATTCCCCAGTTATGACCTACGCGGATTTAGGATTAAGGAAAATGTGACTTTTGAATTGTTTCTGCTTCCCAGTTTGCAGGATTATTTGAAATAGCTAGAAACGGGGTGCAAAGCATTCCATTCAAAATCCGCTTTTCGCAGAGTCGCTTCTGCGCGCCGCCAGAGCCCGGAGTTTGGAGCGAGCGCGTTGTTGAGCCGCCGCCTGGAGCTGCGGCCTAGTTCCCGCCCCCATCGCCCCCTCCTCCCCGCGCTCGGCGCAGGACTGGAGGGAACTCGCGGGACCAGTGGGCTGGCTGCATGGGTCGCAACCTTCCCACCTCTCCAGAAAGAAGGTGAACCAAGAGATTCAGAGGTAACAAATTGTTTTTCCTTCCACCACCAAACGCTCCGACTCACGCTCTGCAAGAATCTGGGCCGAAGCGCACAAGCCAGTGGAGCACCTCTCCCGGGTTCGGGGCCGCTGCGCTCCCCGCAGGATCTCTCTGGTCTCCCCGCCCGCCCCGGGCTGCGCGCCTGAACCCCGCTGCGGCCCGAAAGGTACCCACTTGTTGATCCGGCCGGCTTGCTCATGCTGGCGGTCCCGGGGCGGAGCGGTTGGTGGGTGCTGCTCGGGTCCCGGCCGACAGCGTCCGCCTCGCCGCCGGGCTCCGCGGCTCTCCAGCCGCCCTCCAGCCTGCGAGGCTCCCGCGCCAGACAGGTGGGTGTCGGTCGCGCGCTGCGCTGCTCCCCAGGGGCTCAGAATTCGTTCCACAGTGGAAATTTAAGCATCCTTAAGTTTCTTCCCGGCTCTTGCAAAACCGCAGCTGCTGGGAATGTTGCTTGATATGGACACACGCATGGACGGACAAATGGAGAGACAGACAGGCGGATCGAGGAAGAAGAGAACAACACGAGAGGGGGATTGAAGGACAGAGATGGAGACACGCAAATGGTCTTCCTACGGAGCAAAAAGGGCGGAATTCCTCTCGTCCCCCATCCCTGCCCCTCGGCCTTCGATTCCGCCCTCTACATTAGGCATGCAGAGTGTGGACGGGTCTTCACTGACTGCTGCTCTTCTAAGGAAGGAAGGAAAACGCAGCCGCGGTCTCGAGGCAGGCGGGCTCGGGCTCGGGCTCGGCGCTGCCCAAGCCCCGGCGCCGAGTGGCAAAACTAGATTGCTGGGAAGTCCTCCGCGGGAACAGGCGGCCAGGTCCTGCAGGCTTTCCGGGGACGAGCGTAGAGTCCCCGAAGTTCATTACCCCGTGACTTTGTGCCTGTCGCCGCGGGCTGGGTCCCCTGTAATATCTCCAGAAGCGCTCTGACAGGCAGCCGCGGGGAGGGGAATAGGGCGTCCCTGGCCCACTTAGCTTTTCCCCCAACTCCTGGCGGGGTCTGACGTCAGCCATGTGCGGGGAGGGGATGGGAAGAGGGAGGGGTTAAATGCTAATGATATTAATGAACCTCCAAGCGGCTCCCAAAGAAAATGCAGGCGCTCTCGGCGCCGACTTAGACTGTGAAAGTGGGAGCGTGGCTCTGTGCGCGCGTGGGAGCGAGGACGGTGCTGCTCTCGTAAGAAAAATGAATTCTTATATTTCATGGCAAGAGCGAAGGGGAGGGGAGATGGAGCTTTCTCTAAAACGCTTTCCCCCTTCTCTCCAGAGTGCCAGAAAATTCGTGGAGGAAGCTGGGTGGCTGTGTGTGTGAGAGTGATTGTGGGCGCCGGATGTGGCCATGTAAGTTGGTTCATTCTTGGTCCCGTGCCCTTTCTGTCGGGTAAAACTCGGATCTGGCCCGAGGTGAGTAATTATTCATTTGCAACTATCTACGGAAGGTTATAGCTGAGCACGCTGTGTGGGGACTTGGGGTCTGGGGCGGGGTCTGCCGGAGGCTGCTGGGGTCCTCTTGGCACCAGCCGGGAGGAGGGTGCCGCCCGCTTCCCAAAGCGAAGCCCATCCTGAGCGGGGCGAAGCGCCAGTCACGTCTATTATCTGCACTGGGGCGGCTGGAGGGCAAAGCTTTTCCTCCCGCAGCTTGTCTCCAAGTCTTCAGCCGGGCTTTGCAGGCTCTCCCTCTGCAGACCGAAGGACTCTGAAGAGCTCCCCCGACTCAGCGCGCTTCCCCCATCCCCGCCTTCCCGCGATTCCCTTGCTGCTCCTACTGTGCTCCCGGCGCCGCACAGGGAGAGCGCGCGCCCAGGCAGCCGGCGATTCCCCATCTCCAAGAGATTAATTCTTATTTAAGCTCTCCCAGCAGCTTGAACTTGTCGAACAAGGGCTTGCCAGCCTTTCCTTCGGGTGTAGGCCCGGCCGGAGGTCAGGGGTCACACCTCCAGCGCTCCAGCGCCCAGCCGCG